AGCGGCGAGGGAGAGGCGGCACGGTCAACAAGTGAATGTTCTGAAACTGATTCATGTAAAAAGATCCGGACTACGTAGAGAGATCCGGACTATGTAGAGAGATCCAGACTATGTAGAGAGATCCGGACTATGTAGAGAGATCCGGACCATGTAGAGAGATCCGGACCATGTAGAGAGATCCAGACCATGTAGAGAGATCCAGACCATGTAGCGAGATCCGGACCCTGTAGAGAGATCCGGACCATGTAGAGAGATCCGGACCATGTAGAGAGATCCGGACCATGTAGAGAGATCCGGACCATGTAGAGAGATCCAGACCATGTAGCGAGATCCGGACCCTGTAGAGAGATCCGGACCATGTAGAGAGATCCGGACCATGTAGAGAGATCCGGACCATGTAGAGAGATCCGGACCATGTAGAGAGATCCGGACCATGTAGAGAGATCCGGACCATGTAGAGAGATCCGGACCATGTAGAGAGATCCGGACCCTGTAGAGAGATCCGGACCATGTAGAGAGATCCGGACTATGTAGAGAGATCCGGACCATGTAGAGAGATCCGGACCATGTAGAGAGATCCGGACCATGTAGAGAGATCCGGACCATGTAGAGATCCCGACCATGTAGAGAGATCCAGACCATGTAGAGAGATCCGGACCCTGTAGAGAGATCCGGACCATGTAGAGAGATCCGGACCATGTAGAGAGATCCGGACCATGTAGAGAGATCCGGACCATGTAGAGAGATCCGGACCATGTAGAGAGATCCGGACCATGTAGAGGGATCCGGACCATGTAGAGAGATCCGGACCATGTAGAGAGATCCGGACCATGTAGAGAGATCCGGACCATGTAGAGAGATCCGGACCATGTAGAGAGATCCGGACCATGTAGAGAGATCCGGACCAGACCCTACACCACACAAGGGGGAGAAGGCCGTCAAAGAAGTGACACATGGCAGACGCAAGAAGAGGAGTAACAGGGTGCCACAAGGATGGCATGGCACGGTATGGCATGGCACGGCACGGCATGGCATGGCACGGTACGGCACGGCACAGCACGGCACGGCACGGCACCAAATGATGCGGCACGGCATGGCACGGAACGGAACGGCATGGTATGGCACAGCACGGCACGGAACGGCACAGCACGGCATGGCACGGCATGGCAAGCAACCATGTGTTTCGCCCCGTGTGGCCCGCTGCAGAGGCATCGACAGGTGCGCGAGATCAGTCTAGCAACAGCCTTGCACTCCCACGTGCCACACTCTCTCGACACACATGTACAGGCAACTCAGGTGCTCCAAGGATTCCCTGGGAAAGTGACACGTGCTACGCTACACCCCTCCCTTCGCATACGTACAGGCGAGTCAAGTGGGTGAGATTAGAGAGGGACTCTGGAATTGGCCCAGCGATGCCCATATTCTTCAGGTCCCTGCGCGGTGGGGGGAGACAGCGGGGGGACAGAAACGGGAGACAGAGCCAGGGCCAGGCCGGGTGACAGGGCAGCATTGCAGCCCCAGAGGGGCTGCAGTACTGGCACGTGCGACTTGAATTTGCAGTAAATATTTGAACTTGTTTGCTTCGCTCTCTCGCCCTGTGCTTCTCTCACATCCTATGCCCGCTGCTCCACTCACTCACAACAACCATGCCATGTGCGTCATATGTGATGTTCTGAGCATGTGGGGCCGGCCCATACAGCGCACACATATGAGAATGCTCAAAAGTGGCGCACTCCTCCACTCACATGGCAACAACCATGCCGTGTGCGTCACATGTGATGTTCTGAGCATGCGGGGCAGCCCCATACGGCGCACACATTGCTCCCGCCTGCCACCCCTCGAACGTCCTCCCCCACGCCTTTTGACACGCCTCCAGCACGGCCACTAGGGGAGGGACGAAGGGCAGAGGGGACGGGGTTCTGAGACGTCCGAGCACGAGAGCAGAGGGGAATGGGGGGGAATGAGCTGCGAAATCCTTGAACTTTCTCCCACGCCTGCTGGCACGCCTGCAGCACGAGCACTAAGGGCGGAACAAAAGGTAGAGGGGTGGTGACAAAAGGCAGAGGGGAGGGGATTTGAGAGTCTTGAGCAAGAGAGCAGAACAGAGAGCAGCAGAACGTTATTTTCCTTTTCCTGCCCTTGCGATTCAACTTCCACGTCGCCGTAAAAGCACTCAGCTCTCGCCTCTCTCCTCTCTCCTGTCGGCCAGCACACGTCACAGCAGACCACCAGACAATACCAGATTGGCGGAGACCAGGCCAGCGCAGAGCCGAGCAAAGCTGGCAGAGCAGAGCAACGAAGAGCAGGGCAAAGCAGAGCACATCACGGTGGGTCAGCCGTCACCTGGCCAGACTCCTACAGGCAGCGATCGTAGTACAACTTGTTTAGCATAGTGCCGCCCGCCATCTCCACCTTCTCCAATCTCAACAAAATGTGAGTCCTCTTTCGCTCGGGTGAACCCGGCCGCACAAAACCTGGCTTCTTTTCAGGCACCTCAGAGGAGATTTTCGAGGTGGCAAAAAACCACCGCAGAGGAACGCCGTGCAAACAGCCTTCCAATCAAACAAGTACTGCCAGAACCGCAGGCAGTCGTTTGTAATCCATGTCACTCCTTTGACACGTCTCAAAAGCCAGCAATGCAGTCCTTTCCAGTCCATGTCACTCCTTTGTTTAGGCAATACATTTTCAGGTTTGATTTGTGGCAAGCGGGCCCAAGCCGGCTCGATAAGCCAGGGTGGGCTCACGGTTTGGCATTAATTTGTCGACCCGACCCTGGTTTGTCAATCCAGCCCTGGTTTTTCCGGGCGACCTGCGGCTGTTTTGTCATGATCCTGCTACCAAAAAGGACCGGTTGAAGGGCTAAGGTGCAGCTAGGCGCTTTGCCCATGTCTACCTTTGTGATGACATGCTGTGCCATGCTGTGTGACTGTGACGAGCTGTGATGTGATGTGATGTGATGTGATGTGATGTGGTGTGCTGTGCTGTGCTGTGCTGTGCTGTGCTGTGCTGTGCTGTGCTGTGCTGTGCTGTGCTGTGCTGTGATGTGATGTGATGTGATGTGATGTGATGTGATGTGATGTGATGTGCTGTGATGTGATGTGCTGTGACGTGATGTGACGTGAGGTGACATGACGTGACATTCTGCTGCATTGCACGTCATATGGCTGGCAGATTGTTCCGGGGCAACCTTTTCACGGGCCCTATGGATGATGCTGTCTCCGCCTTGAAGTCGCTCGAGAAGCTGTGCGTCCAATTCACCACGCCCTACACTGCACGCCCTACCCCACCTGCCCTCACTCCACTACCTGCCCCACCTGCCTTCACTCCCGCCCTACCCCACCTGTCCACACTTCACGCCTTACCCTACCTGCCCCACCCTCACTGCACGCCCTACTTTACCTGCCCTGCTTGCACTTGCTTGCATCACATCATTGTATCCTCCTTGTGCTTCCTCCCTGCGTTGCACACTTGCTCGAGCCTCCCACCACCTCACCACTGCCTATCATCAACGCTTTGCCTATGCTCCCCTCACCCCCCCCCCCCCCCCCCTCCTCCCCATCCTCCCCTCCCCCCGTTCTTCTCTTTCCTCGTTTACTCCGACCCCATCTCACTACCCCTCCTCCCGTTCCGGCCCTCCCTCCTTCCTCCCCAGCAGTGATGTGAGCACAAATCGCATCACAGGGTCGCTGCCACGTGGCATCTCCTTGCTCAGCCGGCTGACGTGGTTTGCAGTATCACAGAACCAGATGTCGGGGGCGCTGCCACCCGGCCTCGGCAAACTCACCCAGATTAAGAAACTGTGAGATGCTGACTGGGCCAGGTTCTTTTGTCAATTCAAAAGAATACCCGAATTCTGATACCTTTAATACGATGCGGACTGAACCAGCCAAATTCGTGTGTTTGCTGGAATGGATGAATGGGGGGAGGAAGGGGAAAAGGGAAGGCGGGGTGTGAACAAATTTGGACATGTGCACAGCAATCACTGAGCTAGTGCATAACTTTATTGTATTGCCGTGTGCTTGCAGTCAGTCACTGTCAATTGCCATCCTCGTCCACCCAAAGGCTTCCCTCTGACATGCCATTCCCCAACCTTTCCCATGCCTTTCTCCTTGCCCTTGCCATGCCATGTGCCCCTGCCAAACTCCTCGCCCTCCCCCCCCCCCCCGCCCTTTGCCCTGACCACTCGCATTCATGTGAGCGATGTGCCACCACCATCACCACCTCACCAGGGACATCGGGGATAATGGCTTCCGAGGGCCCATTCCCGAGAGCTGGGGCAATCTGCACAAGCTTGAGCTGCTGTGAGTTCCCACTTATAACCCTGTGAGTCACCCCGCTTCATAACTTCCAAGTCACCCGGCCGCTGTGAGGCTGTAAGCCACTCGAAGTCTGCCCCTGTGGGAGCCAACCAACAACCAAGAAGATGCAAAATAAAGCGAACTTCACGCTATTCTCCCACCTGCCTACTCTCAATCAACTCCATCAAACTACCATGATCCTCTCGCTCTCCATCCATCTCTTCCTCCTCTCACCTCAAATCCGCGAACCACCTTCTTTGGCTAGTTTCGGCTAATCCGCCTCCTTCGGCTAGTTTCGGATAATTCACCTCATTTTCCCTGTTCCTTCTTCTTCCTGTTATGCGAGTGCACCACCTTGCAGAAGATGAGTTTGAACGACTCGCTCCCATACTCGTGGGCCAACATGGCTTCCCTCCAGTAGTTGGTTGCGCAAAGCGCCGGCATCCGCAGCCGCTTCCCCGCCTTCCTGCTCAAGCTCAGGAACATCTCCGACATGTGCGGATGAGGAGTGCATACGATTGTGCATGCACGCTTGAACGGGTGCATGTGAGCATTATACTTGCATGCTCGTGTGACTGAGGCATGCTCGTGTGACACAACTAACCGTAAGTCCCTTTCAACTGGCCCACCGTAAGTCCCTTTCAACTGGCCTAACCCCCCCCCCCCCCCCCCCCAATCTCTCCTCTCCTCCCGTGCAGCGTCATGCCCGGCAACGAGCTGTGGGGCCCTCTGCCTCCCGCTGCTGATCTCTTCGCCCCCAGGTCACTCGCCAGCCTGTAAGCACCACACCCACCAGCCTGTTTCTATCAAGGAAAGAGTTTTTGTAATTTTGGGGGGGGTGAGGGGGAGGGAGGGGAGAGAAATACCCAGAATAGAAGGCTAGGATTCTGGACAGAAATCGGGGCTCATCCCAAATGGTGCCGACAAATCTAACCATGAAAATACTTCACAAAAATCTGATATGTTGTAGCCTGTACCATGGCTATCGTTCCCAGTCTGTAGGCTGGTGAGCATGCTGCACCACCTCCGCACATTTTCCCTCTCCCACCCTCGCCTTTCCAACCCCAACATGGCACCTGGTTCCCCTCCCCTGTCCTCTCATTTCGTCTCTCTCTCTCTCCCAGCAAAGCCTTTTGAGGCACCTCAAAACTCTCAGCCCTACCCACTCACCCCACGTCGCCAGTGACTTGAGATCCAACTACCTCACTGGCAATGTGCCGCAGGTGCCTGCTGGCCGCAACATTGACTTCAAGTGGGTCCTGTCCTTTTGGGGAATGACACTTGTGGGGGATTGTTCCTTTCGGAGGGGATAGCTCCGTAGTGACGCTCTGACGTTTGACTTTGCTGGGTGGCCTTGCCAAGTATGGGTGGTTGGGGCCTGGGGCCTCTTTAACTCTATCACTCTCTTCCTCCTCATCCTTTCCCTATTCATTTTCCTCCTGCCCCCCTTTCCCCCTTCAGGTTCTTCACCAACTGCTTTCATGCTTCAGCAGGTGCAAGTGCAGACACCTTGCTGGGGGACGAGAATCCACGGTCCACCACAGATTGCACGCGATTCTACTCCAACCTCGACCAAGGTTAGGTGACGCCTCCCCATCCTCATGACACTCTACTGCATCCATCTCGTACTCGTCCCTGCCCTGCCATGCCATGCCATGCCATGCCATGCCATGCCATGCCATACCATGCCATGCCATGCTATGCCATGCCATGCCATGCCATGCCATGCCATGCCATGCTATGCCATGCCATACCATGCTATGCTATGCCATGCCATGCTATGCCATGCCATGCTATGCTATGCTATGTCTTACCATGCCATGTCATGCGATGCCATGCTATACCATGCCATGCCATGCTATGATATGCCATGCCATGCTATGCCATGCCATGCCATGCTATGCTATGCTATGCCATGCCATGCTATGCCATGCCATGCCATGCTATGCTATGCTATGCTATGCTATGCTATGCAATGCCATGCTATGCTATGCCATGCCATGCCATGCCATGCCATGCTATGTCATAACATGCTATGCTATGCCATGCCATGCCATGCTATGCCATGCCATGCTATGCTATGCCATGCCATGCTATGCTATGTCATGGCATGCCAGCTATGCCATGCTATGCCATGCCATGCCATGCTATGCCATGCTATGCTATGCTATGCCATACCATGCCATGCCATGCCATGCTATGCTATTCTATGCCATGCCATGCTATGCTATGCCACGCCATGCCCTGCCCCATCCTGCCCCTGCCGTGCCATGCCCTGCCCTGCCCTGCCTCGATCGTCCCTCACTTTATAATGACTTACAATGCCAGAAACCCGTCCCTCCTCTCGCCCCACTCACCTTGCCTTCATTTGTGCACAGCACTCTCTTGCCTCTAACCTTCTCCCTGCGTCCCCATCTCCTCTATGCTCCTCCCATCCCCTCATAGGGAGACCACCAACACCTGCCCTCGCCTCCACTTCTCCCGCTCGTCCTCCCACATCCAACACCATCGCTGCAAGCAGCCCCTTCCCCCCCACATCCCCCTCACCTACCCCCTCACCGACCCCCTCCACACCCTCTGCCTCCTCCTCCACCTCCCTTACTAAGCCCAGCCATAACCTTCGCCCCCCTGCCCTCCTCCCTGTGGCCGCCTTCCTGCTGGCACTGCTAGCTGCTGCCATGGCATGAGAAGGGAGGAGAGGTGGAGAGGGGGGGATTAGGGTGGGGCGGAGGTATGGTGGAGGTGACTTTTGAGAGGATTGTAAAGCCTTCCTGCCTGCTGGCACTGTTGGCTGCTGCCATTGTGTGCGACGGGAAGGGAGGGAGGGAGGGAGGGAGGGAGTACGGTAGGAAGGAGGTAAGGGTGGAGGTGGCTTTTGAGTGGATTCAAAAGGCTGCCTGCCTGCTGGCACTGCTGGCTGCTACCATGGTGTCAGGGGGGGAAGAGTAGGGTGGGGGTGTGTGGATGCCGTGTGTAAAACTACTGTTGGCACAGGACCTCTTTTGCGCCTGCTGGCACTCCTGCTCGCTGAGAGGGGTACCGACTGTTCTGCCTTTTCCAGCTCAACTAAAAAAGAAACACGTATACAACGGAAAAGAAGGGCACAAAGTTCCTACGCCTTCTACTCCAAATCAATCATATTACCAGCTCCTCATGTTGACCATGCCATTTCATAGTAGCAACTCAAATTGGTCCTTGACGTCGCGTTACTATGTGCAAATCATAATAATATTTTGTTATGTAAAAGTTGCACCATGTCCCGTTGAACCATAAAATGGGACATGGTGATGAGTAGCAAATCCGTGGTTGGCCAGGCAGGCTCAGAAGGTAAAATTTTGTGCCACAGCTGTAGCAGCTAAGCCGTAGAGCTGTAACAGCTGGATACTACAGCTGTAGCAGCCATTTTGTTGCCTCGGCCCTGCAAAGAAGGGGGGGGCAGAAAGGGCACAAGGGGATTTGGAGGGGGAGAAAAGGAAGGAGGGGATGGAGAGAGAGACGCAGAGGCGCAGCAAACAAGGCCAATGTTCAGTGCAAGATCAGCTGCGCTTGCCTGCACGTTCATGCACTGCCAAGTAGAACTGGATTGGACGATTCTACGAGACATGGCAAAGCCAATTCGCCCTCCTGCACCCACCTGCAAGCCATCGCAAGACCGATGCACCCACCTGCACGACATTGCAAGACCGACGCACCCACCTGCATGACATGGCAAGACCAATGCACCCACCTGCACGCGCGTGCCATGTCGTCCCGATCCAGCAGCCCCACGAGCAGCAAACCACTCCCCCACTCCTCCCTCCCCTCCTCATCCGTCACCCTTCCAACCTCATCCCTCCCCACTCTCCTCCCACCTCCTTCCACCCCACGCCCATTCTCTCCCTCCTCATTTCCTTCTCCTGCTTGCCCCTCTCCCCCTATCCCTTCCCCTCTCCCCTCTATAGCTTCGTCGACAACTTCCGAGTTTGTGTTGCGTTTGGACGTGGAGGGCCTGTCTGAAATGCTAGGCAGGAATGAATGCACTAGGAAAGTGTTGGGTACAAGTATGAAACCCTAAAAGGGGCTGTACCCCATATTGGCTACCCCACTACAGCCTAAACATATATAGCATACATATGATTTGACACACCCCCATAGGCAAAGTGGGGGAGAAGAAGGGGTCACAAGTCCAGTCAAGAGAAGCAAAGCAAGCTCAGGGTGGATCACAACGTCACCACACACACTGAGCACAAGCAAAGGGGCCACAAGGCCAGTTCACATGCAGAGGTACATATGCAACAACAACAGCACAGTGATCTCTAACTAGCAGAGCAAGCATGCAGGTATATATAAAGATCACAGTACAAGTGAAGTCTACAGGAAGTGAGGAAACGTGGGCACAAGGCCTAACAAAGTACAAAAACGCTGATGATCACCAGACGGAAGTGCCTTGGTGAATATATCCGCAGTGTTGGCCCGAATGGCCACGTGAGCAAGACGAAGCTGACCACGCTGCTGCAACTCTCGAGCAAGGAAGTAACGCAGAGCGATGTGCTTCGTTCTGTGCTCCAGTCTGTGCTCTTGACACAAGGCAATGTCGGCCTTGTTGTCTACGTACAGAACTGGAGGAGAACGAGGCCGCTCTCCCAGGTCGGTTAGCAGGTAAGTGAGCCAGCGTAACTCCTATGCAGCCATGGCTGTGGCGTAGATCTCAGCCTCACAACTGGAGCTGAGAACAGAAGACGAGCGTGTAGACCGCCAAGAGACAGAGCCAGAGCCAAGACTGAAGGTGTAACCCTCTGACGACCGCTGTGTAGCCAGGTCGTCAACCCAAGGAGTGTCCGAGTGCCCAGTGAGGACAACGTCGCCCCGTCCTCCAAGCACGAGCCCCATGCCTGATGTACTGCACAAGTAGCGCAGTACCCTCTTCGCAGCATCCATGTGCACCTTTCGGTGCCTACCAGGAGCCACGTAGCGAGCCAGAAGGCTAAGAGGGTACGCAAGGTTAGGACGAGTGCAGGTCATCTGGTACATGAGGCAGCCCACTAGCTCTGGATACGGGCCACTCGGCTCTACGGACTCATCCGAAGGCAGAGCTGAGAGCGAGTGACCGGTAGGCAGAGGAGTGGGCTGAGGCGAGGAGTACGTGAAGCGGAAGCGCTGAAGGACCTGCTGCACCATGTATGACTGAGTCAAGGTGATGGTGCGCTGTGCTCTGTCCCGGGTGATCCGCAAGCCAAGATAGCTTGTCAGCTCACCCAGGTCTGTGCACGTGTGTCTCTTCTGCAGCTCCGACTTCACGTGGGCGAGTGCCTCAGTGTCAGCAGTAGCAAAGACCAAGTCGTCTACGTACGCGAGAACGTAGAACGGCGGCAGAGTGGTGTCGGTGCGTAGAAACAGCGACGGGTCAGCAGTAGAAGGAGCAAACCCAAGAGCAGCAAGAGTAGTCCTCAGTGTGTCGTGCCACTCACAGGGTGCCTGGCGGAGATCGTAGACTGGCCGCCGGAGGCTCCACTGGGTACCAGCAGGGAACGACCCAGTGAAGCCAGGTGGGCGGCGCAGCCAGATCTCCTCGTGCAGGCTGCCCTGTAGGAAAGCAGTGCTGAAGTCAAGAGAGTGGAGCTCGTAGTCACGCTGAGCGGCGATGTGCAGCAGAACCCGAAGAGTGGTCATCTTCGGGGTCGGGGAGAAGGTCTGGAAGAAGTCAACTCCCTCTCGCTGACCGAAGCCTCGTGCAACGTAACGCGCCTTGAAGACAGGCGGAGAACCCGGCGGCCGCTTCACCCTGAAAATCCACATGCCACAGACGAGTCTGTGGACTTCCAGGATGCCATCTCTGCGTCCATGGCTGTCTGCCACTGAGAGGAGTACTCACCCGCGATCGCCTCAGCGTAAGAGCGCGGGGTCGGGATGTCTGGAGCATCCGGGTCTCCCTCAGGGGCAAGCAGCATGGCCATGAGATGAGGCGCAGCGGCTGGAAGACACTCAAGGTCCTCCTGCCTGTCCTCAAGGACGTCCGTGCCAAGAGCACACTCACCCCCGGCGGACGGAGGACAGACAGACTCAGACTCAGCAACAAGACTAGCGGCGTAGTCGAGACGACAGGCAGCAGCAAAGTCTACAAGGTCAGCGACTAAGGCAGACGCAGCATCAGACTCAAACGACGGGTCAGTGACAACAGTGGCTAGCAGACGCGTGACAGTAGGGTGAGCAGTACGAGCGCGGTCGGACTCAGGCCCTGGAACGTCAGGCAGAGAAGACGCAGGAGGGGACGGCAGGGGAACACGCTGCGGAGCAGAGGAAGGACGCAGGGCCATGAGGTGTGTGCCGGGGACAGCCGGCGGACGCTCACGAGGAACACGCCGACCAGTACGACCAGTGCGGACAGTGCGAACAGGTGAGACAGGACGAGACGCAGGCTCACGACGCTCAGTAAGACCTCCGGTCTGCTGAGTGTAAGGAGAAGGAGCAGGCAGCGGTGAGCCAGGCTGTAACGGAAGACCAGTAGAAGACGGGAGGCTAAGAACCTGGCAAAGCACGGAGTCAGGCGGTGGCAGAGACGAGGGCGACGGCGGAGCGAAGAACAGTCGCGGCTGGGCAGCGCCACCAGCACCGGCTGTCAGAATCCCAACCACTAGACCATTGGGATAAAAGGGCTTGTTAAGTAGCGGGTCAGTGCGCCCATAACCCCCCAGGCCAACATGCCTGTAACCCTTCCCTAGGATCAATCGGGGGGGGTTATGGGCGCACTGACCCGCTACTTAACAAGCCCTTTTATCCCAATGGTCTAGTGGTTGGGATTCTGACATGCTATCAGAGCGAAGGTCTCGGGTTCGAATCCCAGTGTGTGCACTTCGGGCATCCCAGTGCGGGGGGGTGTCAGAGGTCCACTGGTGATCCCCGATTGATCCTAGGGAAGGGTTACAGGCATGTTGGCCTGGGGGGTTATGGGCGCACTGACCCGCTACTTAACAAGCCCTTTTATCCCAATGGTCTAGTGGTTGGGATTCTGACACCGGCAGCTCCAGTACCTCCAGCACCAGCACCTCCAGCGCTAGCACCTCCAGTACCAGCACCTCCAGTAGCTCCAGAACCTCTTGCTCCAGCGCCAGTACCTCCAACAGCTCCAGGACCTCCAGTAGCTCAAGAACCTCCAGTGCCAGCACCTCCAGTACCAGCACCTCCAGCAGCTCCAGAACCTCCAGCTCCAGCGCCTTCAGCGCCAGTACCTCCAACAGCTCCAGGACCTCCAGTAGCTCCAGAACCTCCAGCGACAGCACCTCCAGTACCAGCACCTCCAGCAGCTCCAGAACCTCCAGCTCCAGCGCCTCCAGCGCCAGTACCTCCAGTACCAGCGCCACCAGCAGCAGAACCCCCAGACTCAGCAGAACCACCAGCCCCAGCAGCTCCAGTACCTCCAGTACGAGCACCTCCGAGACCAGCGGCTCCAGTAACTCCAGGAGAAACGCCTCCAGTAGCTAAGTCACCAGCTTCAGTGCCTCCAACGCCAGCGTCGGCCGCAGCAGGGCCCCCAGCTCCAGCAGTGCGACCCTGACGGCTAACGTACCACTCACGCAGCTGCTGTGGGGAGAGAGGGAGACGTCGACGAGAGAGCTGCGGCGAGGCAGCAGCGGAGCGACTACGGAGGCGGTCGCTCCAAGGAGACTGCACACCAGGCGCCTCAGCGCCCCCAGGCGCAGTACCCCCAGAC